CAGACAGTTGCCTGAGGCTGGGATTGAACCCAGGTCCCTGGCACTGTGAGGTAGCAGTGTTAACCACTGTGCCACCATGCCACTCATCTTTTAAATTACCAAACAACATCACTAGAAAGGCAGTTCTTTATCACATTGCTATTTGTGGGACAATGCTGAGTGCAAACCGACAGCCGCATTTCCTGCATTGGAGTAGTTCTTCACTTCAAAAGTACTTAAAGCTGTACAGCACTTTAGAAACCACTGTAGAAGTGGCAACACAGGCACTGGACCCTAAAAAGGACAGGATGGCGCCACCTTAACGTCAGCAACTCCCGCTGCTGCTTCTATATGTCCAGGCCACTCATTCTGGCTGGACACTTCAACTGCATCATCGATGTGAATGAATGATCCAGAGGGGCTGACAGCAAACCGGATGCCACATTCAGATTCCTGATGGAAATGGTTAGAATCGCCAAGCTGCACAGTATCTTCAGCACCTCTGCAGATGGAGTGCAGGGTAGATACACTTGATCACAGCCAGATGGGTCTTTCCACTTAAGGACAGATCTCCAGTTTGTGTCCTAAGTGTTCTCTGTCAGATCCACTGATGTCCAGCTGGTGTTCTTTGCTGACCAGTAACTCCTGCTGGAGACTGTCAGCTATAGGACAACCCGCAGGCTGGCAAGGGAACATGGAAGCTGAATGTGAAGCGTTTGATCCCAGGAAACATTGAGGAACTCAAAAGGACAACAAAGCTTGGAGAACTGTGAAATCCCTCTTTGACCCTCCAGCAGACTGGTGGGAAACAGTCAAGGGGAACATTAAGAGGTTCTTCATCCCCAAAGATATTCAGAAGTTGAGAGAGAAAGAGACAGGTAAAACTGTCCAAACACCAGAAAAGCATGCAGAACCTACTCCCACTGCAGAAGATGGGGGTCAGTGCCAAGGAGAACCTCCAGGAGGTGAAGAGTCAACGAGCCTCACTCTTTGCCTCAGAGACCCCCAAGATAATCTTATGATCCAGGGTCTGCTCTATGGAGCAGGATGAGATGTGTTCATGTTTCTTCTTCCAGAAGGTACACAAGGAGAGCTCTGTGATCAGAAGCCTGAAGGAAGAAGATGGCTCGGTAATGTCATCTCAGTTTGACATCCCGAGGATCAGCAAATCTTTTTTATGCCAGACTGTATGACATGAAGCCCACAGATAGCACAGGCTCCCAGTTGTTCCTGTCCTCTATCACAGAGGTCTTAGACGACAGCATGCGAGAGAGGCTGAACAAGCCGTTATCTCTAGAGTCCTGAGAAAAGAATAAAACTCCCAGAAGCGACTGCTTACCAGCTGAGTTGTATTCAGCTCTGTGTGACTGGATTAGCCTCGATCTGTTGGAGGTGTATGACAGTAGGCTTCTGGCAGGTAGCACACACGAATCCATGAGGAAAGGTATCATCACCCTCATTTACAAGTGGAAGGGGGAGAGGGAAGAAATTAGAAATTGGCGACCAATCTCTGCCTAAGGTCTCCAAAACGGGCTTTGGGGAGGGAATCTGCAATTGTATCCTTCTACACCAACATCGTTAGTACAGTCTCAATCAATGATTGGGAATCAGAAAGCTTCCCAATCAGATGTGGAGTCAGGCAGGGCTGCCCACTCTCTCCTGCCTTGTTTGTGTGTTGTATAAAGCCTTTTGCTGAGTCTATCAGGAAGATGCGAGCCTGAGAGAGGTGACTATTTCAGGCAGTGGAGACCTGCAGGTCAAAGCCTCCCAGCACATGGATGATGTTGCTGTTTTCTGTTCAGATCCGCTGTCAATGCGCAGACTCATGAGCATTTGTGACCGGTTCAAATTGGCTTCGGGAGCCAAGTTAAGTCGAGGCAAAAATCAAGGCATGTTCTTTGTGAACTGGGCCAACCAATCCGATATCGCCTTCACTCTCAGGACAGATTACCTGAAGTTGCTAGGCCTACGGTTTGGAGGGGCTGTGGTGTGCACAAAATCTTGAAAGGAATGTGTCACTAAGGTGAGGCAGAAACTGGGCAAGTGGGAGCACTGCTCCCTGTCCATTGCAGGTAAAAACCCGGTCATCAGGTGTGAGGTACTCTCAGTACTGAGGCATTTGGCACAAGTCTGGCCCATTCACTGAACCTGCACCTTTGCAGTCACTTGAGCCATCTTCCACTTCATCTGAAGGTCGAAAATGGACCGTGTCCACAGGGTTACAAATGTACAAACCTCTGGATAAAGGGGAGAAAGACATACCCAATGCTGCCCTCACCCTGATGGCCACATTTGTGTGTGGCTGCATCAAGCTATGCGTAGACCCTCCAAATGCAAAACCAAGTGTCACTACTTTACCTGCCCCTGGTTTTGCAAAAGATGGGACTGGCCTTGGCACCACAGAATGCTCCAAGTAGTCGGACTGTTCCATATCACTTGTCCTTCATGGAAAAATTTGCAAAGAAAAACACCTTAGACCACAAGTCCATCAGGAAGTGATCAACAAGTAGTGTACTCGAGAAAAGGATCCTGTCGCATGGTTCCCTGAGCAGACTGTCAAAAGTCATTTCACAGAATTCCTCATCATCAGAATTTTCCAATGAGCACCAAGATATCGCTTAGCTGGTGGTGGGAAGGGCACTGCCCATTAGATCCTTCATGCATAATCGGTCTCTGTGCTCCACTGCACACTGCCCTTAAAGCAGCTGTTAGGGGGGTTAGTACAGACTGTCACTCTCTCCTTCTGGAATGTGCCTTTTTAAAGAAGGTCTGGAGAAAGACAGAACATAGAACACAGAACAGTACAGCACAGGGGCCTGCTCAATTATCAGATCCTCTCTTTGCCTCAGAATGAATATAAGTAGTGCCATGCATGAGTAGGAAATGCCTTTGGTTTCTGCAACTGCAGGGAATATCAGATTTCAATACTTGTTTTATTTTCTTTTTATGCAAAGGCCGTACAGAACAGCTTTAGAATCTGCGTATGTACATAAAGATAATTTTTTAATGAGTAAAGTGTACTTTTGCAATAAAAACATCTCTCACTTTTCAACAACGTTCAAGTTCTATTCTACCAAGCAATCTCTACTCAAATAGGTCCCACATATCTCTGTATATCAGTTCAATTCATAATTTTCATTCCAAATTCCATCACCCCTTAACTCTCAGCACAAGCCTTTTATATGTTGCTGCTTAATCAGTTATATCTACAATATCCATTTCACAATCATAATTCTTCTATAAATAATAGGTGTAAAACTTGTTATTATATATGACAGTACATCATGTGAAATAGAGAATTGGTTTCTGTCTCATTTGCCAAGTACTGTAAATGATGACATCTGGAAATAACATGCTTTGATGATGTGGAACTTCTTTTTGTTCACTCAGTGGACTATGGTGAACGAGTTTGCTAAATTCAACTTGGGTGACTCATTCCAAAATTGTGTCTTACCCTGTTTCAACTAGATCAGGCAAACGGGATTTTTAACAGAGATGTTTAAAATCGTTAGAGTAAATACAGAGTAACTGTTTCATGTGGCAGAAGAGTCAATGATCAAACGGACGCAGATTTAATATGGTAGATGAAAGAACTGGAGTAACATAAAGAAACAAAAAATTTGACAATATGTTGTTGTGACCCAGAATGTGCTGCCTGAAAGGGCAGTTGGACCAGATTCAGTAGTAATTTCCAGCAGCGAGTTGAATAAATATTTGACGTCGAAACATTTGCCATCGTCATTCAGAAAGAGCAGAGGAAGTGGAAATAATTAGACAGCTTTACTAAAGGGCTGGCCAGGCATGATGAGCAAAATGGCCTCCTTCCGCACTGTATAGTTCTATGTTTCTCCATTAGCTGGTCCTGACTGAGGAGATATGGTAAGAGATTTGACAATGTGCCTGGTTCATGGCATTTTATTTGCCAAGCTACTTTCCCATGGTTTTTAGAATAATAAAAAAATTGAACCAGAAGATGGGGGAAAGCAAAGACTGTACAGAACCAGTTTAGTGTCTGCATATTTTTATGTTTTATGTTTAATGTCCTGAACTATGGACCCTGGATTCTCATTCAAAGAGAGATAACTGAAGCTAACAACTGTATAGCGACACTTGGTATTTATTACAGAGTATAAATTCTCATACAGAGACTATACCATGACTAGAATTTGTCTCACAGAGACTGTACAAATATAATTCCCTAAATTATAAATAAAAACAAAAATTGCTGGAGAAACTCAGCATCTGCTTTCTCTCCATCCATGCTGCCACAAATCTGATTGCTCCAGCAATTTGTTTTTATTTCAGATTTCCAGCATCCACGGTTCTTTGTTTTATTTACAATTTGCATATGTGTTGGAACCTTGGGTTCGAGTTAATTGAGGAACTTGTACTGTGCTCTGAAATGAAAATGTAAAATTAAAGATTTGCACACAAATTGGGTTGTTAAACCTTGCAAATAACAAGGTGAGTCCCTACAGTGTAAGAGTAGGCCATTTGGCCCATCAAGCCCACACCAACCCTCTGAAGAGCATCCCATCTTCCCCTACCCTTTTGCTCTACATTTCCCCATGATCTGAAACATTAATCCTGATTTCCTCTCCACTGATGTTGGCAGACCTGCTGAACTTTTCCACTAATTTCCTGTTTTTGTTTCCCACGCGCAGCTTACACACTATGGACAATTTCCTATGGTCAATCTGTGGGAGGAAACCCACACAGAGAATGTGCAAAATTTCACACAGATGGTCGCCTGAGGCTGGAATCGAACCCGGGTTCCTAACGCTGTGAGGCAGCAGTGCTAACCACTGAGCCAATGGACAGCCCCGGTAACACGTATCCAGCTGACTATGACATTTGGATCAGGGACAGAAAACTGCTACTTCCACATATAACCATTTTTATTTAAAAAACTCAAATCATGTAACACCATTCGACGTACGCCTGAAAAACATTCCAATTTAACAACAGATTTGGCTCTTCCGCAATATTAAAAACGGGAAATTTGAAACACGAATGCTCACCTTTCCCATCCCGTTTACTCCCAGGATACGGGGGGCTAGAGTTTCCATTGGGGAAGTGTGAGTGGCATGAATAAAGGTCCCCTTGAAAACTTGGAGGCTTTCGCCTTGCGGTTGGGGAGCTTCGGTAGTCATGTTGTAGAGTGACAGGCTTCCTCTGCAGCACTCAGAAAGCACCAATTACACCATTTCACTTTCTCAAATTGAAGCTTTGGGCGTGTGCATATCGTTTAGTGGGCGTATACCTTCCTTTTGAGGAACAAGTAGTCCGCTGGGTTTGCTCTAGAGTCATCAAATCAAAAGGGCTAAAGCATTAGCAATCGAAGGAAAAAAATCTAAACGAATAATGATGTCGTTGCTGGTGTGCATCACACACCATAGTTTAAAAAGGACATATTTCAGTCCCCAACAATTACAACTCTTGGCGCATCTAATCCCACGCACACAGAGTCGAAGAACATGGAAGGAGACCCTTCGGCCCATCCTAACTGAGCAGGTCATTAATCATCCACCTATTCTAATCCCACTTTCCACACTTGAATGTTATGGTGTTTCAAGTCGTCATTTAAATAGTTCTTAAATGTCTTGAGGGTTCACATCTCTACCATCCTTTATAGGTAGTGAGTTCCAGATACAGCCCTCTGGTGGAAAGATCTTTCTTCAACTGCCTTCTAAACCTCCCACTCCTTACCTTAAAGCTGCTCCCTGGTTACTGATCCCTCTACTAGGGGGAAACATGTACCTATCTACTCTGTCTATGCCCCTCAAAACTTTGTACACCTCAAGTCCTTCCAGCCTCCTCTGCTCCAAGGAAAACAACACCAAGCATATTTAGTGTCTCTTCATAGCTGAATCGCACCAGCTCAGCAAACATCCTTTTAAAGCGTTGGAAAAGGTGCAGAGGAGATTTACCAGGATGTTGCCTGGAATGGAGGGAAGGTCTTACGAGGAAAGGCTGAGAGAGCTACGGCTTTTCTCTTTAGAACAACGAAGGATGAGAGATGACTTGATAGAGGTGTACAAAATGATCAGAGGTATAGATAGAGTGGACAGCCAGAGACTTTTTCCTAGGGTGGAGGTAGCTATTACGAGGGGGCATAGTTTTAAAGTGAGTGGAGGTGGATATAGGGGAGACGTCAGAGGTAGGTTCTTTACTCAGAGAGTGGTCGGGACGTGGAACGCATTGCCGGAGAGGGTAGTGGAGTCGGCCTCATTAGGGGCATTTAAGCGGCTATTAGATAGGCATATGGATGATAGTATAAGGTAGGGGTGGAGGTTAGAAGACCTTAGGTTTAGGGTAAAAGTTCAGCACAACATCGTGGGCCGAAGGGCCGGTACTATGCTGTACTGTTCTATGTTCTATGAATCTCTTCAACACCTCTCTACAGCAATCACACCCTTCCTGTAGTGCAGTGACCAGAAATGTAAACAGTACTCTGGCTGTGACCTAAATAACATTATATGCAGCTCCGTCATAAACTCCTTGCTTATACAATTCATGGACTAATAAAGACATGCATTCCCCTTGCCTTGTTAACCACCTTATCTATCTAACCAACCTTCAAGAATCAATGGATATAAACATCAAAGTCCCTCTGATCTTCTGTACTTCCTGAAGTCTTGCTCCACTGCCTTGTTAGACCTTCAAAAATGCATCGCCTTTTGCAACTACTTCCTCCTAAAATAGGTTTTCAACTGTTCAACTGAGTTCTGAAACTCAGAAACTCTGAGTTATAATGGACTTGACATTAACTTGGTTTCTTTTTTCGCAGATGCTACTGCTTCTGCACTTCCTGTTTTTATTTAAGCTGTTAAGATTAATTGATGGATTTGCACTAATAACAGAGAATTGAGTTATGCTGAAAGATCACCCCATGCACCTGTTTATGCTTCATGCAAGGATCTGCCTCTGGTGCTAATATCAACCTATTTTCATTTCTCTGTGTTTACCTTGTTATGAATCCAGCTGATGGTAATACTGGACAATTCAAATTTCCAAATGAAACCTATTTGACCATAAGTTTTCATTTTGCAGTTTGGGTTCTGTGGTAGCCAATCACTAAACATATTCACAGGAGCATCAAAGTTTATTCCACAAAAGAAATACAAGCTAGATAAATATATATGTACATAAAACGATATTTATAAATATAATATATAACAAGAAAATTGCAAAGCGCTTACCAAAGATGGTATAAGAAGAAATTCAACATTTTCTCTTTAGCTATATCCTTTAGAAACATAGAAACACAAAAAAATTAAGAACAGGAGTAGGTCATTCAGCCCTTTGAATCTGCTCCACCATTCAATAGGATCATCCAACTTAGTACACTGTTCCAACTTTCTGCCCATACCTTTTGATCTTTTTAGCCTTAAGAACTATATTTAATTTCTTATGAAAACATTCAATGTTTTGTCCTCAACCAATTTCTGTGGCAAAGAATTGTCACCACTCCCTGGGGAAGAAATTTCTCCTAATCAAAGTCCTATATGGTCTATCCAACAATCTTAAACCATAACCCCTGGTTCTGAACTCCCTGGTTATTGGTAACACCCTTCCTGCATTAACCCTGTATAGTTATAGGTTTCTATGAGATACCCCCTCATTCTTCCAAACTCAGGTGAATATAGTCCTAACCAATCCAAGCGCTTGTCATACATCCTGCCACCCTAGGAATCAGTCCAGTAATTCCACTTCTTCCATAGCTAGAACATCTTTCCTCAGATGAGGAGACCAAAACTGCACACAATACTCCACATGAGTCTCACCAAAGCCTTGCATAATTGTGGCAAGATATATATGCTAATCTTTATTGCACATATTCACTTTGGAAGCAAGACAAGAAGGCAGATTACTACCTGAATGGCTGTAAATTGGGAGAAGGAAGTGTGCAGTGGGACCTGGGTGTCCTTGTGCATCAGTCGCTGAAGGTAAGCATTCAGGTACAGCAGGCAGTAAAGAAGACATATGGTGTGTTGGCCTTCATTGCAAGAGGCCTCGAGTACAGGAGCAGGGATGTGTTGTTGCAGTTATACAGGACTTTGTTGAGACCACACCTGGAATATTGTGTGCAGTTTTGATCTCCTTTTTTGAGAAAGGATGCTGTTGCTGTTGAGGGAGTGCAGTGAAGGTTTACCAGGCTGATTCCGGGGATGGCGGGTCTGACGTATGAGGAGAGATTGACTAGGTTTGGATTGTTTTTGCTGGGGTTCAGATGAATGAGGGGGATCTCACAGAGACTTATAAAGTTCTAACAGGACTGGACAGGGTAGATGCAGGGAGGATGTTCCCGATGGTGGGTGTGTCCAGAACCAGGGGTCACAGTATGAGGATTCAGGGTAGACGATTTAGGACGGAGATGAGGAGACATTTCTTCACCTGAAGAGTGGTGAGCCAGAGGAATTCATCACCACAGGAAGTAGTTGATGCCAAAACATTGAATGAATTCAAGAGGCGACTAGATATAGCACTTGGGGCGAATGGGATCAAAGGATATGGAGAGAAAGCAGGGTTAGGCTATTGAGTTGGATGATCAGCCATGAGTGTGAAGAATGGTGGAGCAGGCTCGAAGGGCCTAATAGCCTCCTCCTGCTCCAATCTTCTATGTTTCTCCAGACTTTTTTCGTTCATTTATGGGATGAGTGCGTCGCTGGCTCGGCCAGCATTTAATGCCTATCTTGAATTGTCCTGGAACTCAATGGTTTTTCTAGGCCATTTCAAAGGGCATATAAGACTTAACCACAATACCGTGTGTCTGGAATCACATATATCTGGGCCACACCAGTTAAGGATGGCAGGTTTCCTTCTATAAAGGACATTAGTGAACCAGATGGGTTTTTTTACAATAATTGACAATGGTTTCACGATCATTTTTGGGTTATCTATTAATTCCAGATTTTTATTGAATTTGATTCTCGCCATGACGGTTTTTCAAATCTATGTTGCCAGAACATTACAACTTGGGGTACTGGATTACAAGGCCAGTGGTATTACTACGATGTCACCACCTTCCCATAAGGTACCTTTATTCTATCCTTTATGCTTTGGAGACTTGGACAATGTACAAACGGCACTTCTGGAGAAATATTACAAGTGATTGCTTTAAAAGATTGTCTTAATTCAATGGTAAGAATTGAGGATTCAGGTAGACGATTTAGGACAGAGCAGCAGAGTCCTCTCCTCAGCCAATTTACCTAGCAGCAAAATATTAATCAACATTCTGCCAGTTACCATTGACCAGAAACTGAACTGGACTAGCCATATACATATAGGGCCTATACGAGCAGGTCAGAGGCTAGGAATCCTGCAATGAGTAACTCACCTCCTCTCTCTCCAATGTCGAACCACCATCTGCAAGGCACAAGTTGGGTGTGGAATGGAATATTCTTCATCCATTTGCCTGGATGAATACAGCTCCAACAACACTCAAGATAGTTGACACCATCCAAAACAAAACAGCCTGCTTGCTTGATACCCCCTACACCACCTTCACCATTCACTCCCTTCACCAGCATTGCGTTGTGGCAGGAGTATGTATGATCTATACAATACACCATGGGTAACCATTATGATCCCAGCCGATGTTATTGCTGGGACAAGTCAGATCCCAAATTGAAACCTGGCTTAATGAATCATATTTTATTCTGTTTTGTTTTTAACAGTGTGGTCTCTCACTAGGACATAAGCATTTAATGTTGCAGGTTTTGTTTTAATAATAAAACATAAGTTTATTAAACAAAAGAAAAGATGATAAAATAGAATATATCAGTGCATTTACTTTTTGATTTTTAAATTCATTTGTGGAATGTAGCATCGCCAGCTGACCAGCATTTATTTCCAGTCCCTAGGTGCCCTTGAGCCACACAACAAGATGGAGGTTATTCTCAATGTGAAGGCAGGACTTTGTCTCCACAAGGACTCTGTGGTGGTCACTCTTACTAATATTGTCATGGACAAATGTAACTGCAGCAGGCAGTTTGGTAAGGATGAGGTCAGGTATGTTTTTCCCTCTTGTTGATTCCCTCACCACCTGCTGCAGACCCAGTCCAGCAGCTATGTCCTTTCAGACTTGACCAGCTTGATCAGTAGTACTGCAACCGCGACACTGTTGGTGCTGGACATTGAAATGTCCCACCCAGAGTGCATTTTGTGTCCTTGCCATCCTCAGTGCTTCCTCCAAATGTTGTTCAATATGGAGGAGAACTGATTCATCAGCCAATACATGGTAATCAGCAGGCATTTTCCTTGCCCATGTTTAACCTGAAG